CTGTAATCTCATATACTATGGAGGCTGAGACAGGAGGATCTCAAGTTTGAGCCAGCCTGGGCAACTTAGCAAGACCCTGTTTCAAAAAAAAAGTGGGGGGGGGGGCTCAGGGATATAGCTCAATGCTAGAGTGCCTCTGGATTCAGTCCTCAGTACTAAAAAAAAAAAAAAGAAAGAAAGAAAGACCTTTAGTGGTGATGGGAGTCTGTTTCTTCATCCATATTCTACTGAAAACTTATTCTTAGAAGCTTCTTGAGAGGTAGTTTGTTAGTCTTTCTGAAGAATTTTTTAAAAACACTTTATAACCATGAACAAACTTTGTCCCACCGTGCCAACTTTTATGGTTCTGTGACATTGTCTATTAAAATTTTAATTTTAGTAGATATCATTTAATGGGAACTATTAAGCAACAATGACAAATAGTGTTGCTCTGTTTTAATCTAGAGTTTTGAGTCAGAGTGCTGCCTCAATCTGGTACCTTATCCCAAATTACTGCTGTTGTGTCCCAAAGCAACTTTGGATCTCCCTGAAGTTCACACTATGAATGAGCTTTGCAGCTATTTTTCCAAGATGAGATAATTTTTTTTTTTCTAAATCCAGAGTTGTAGAAGCTCTGAAAGGTATGTCTCCTGGAGGTATGGAGTATTGAAGTGTAGATTGTAAAGATTTCCCCTGTGGAGGTGGGGATAGATGTCCATATAACTGTTAGTCTACAAAATAAACTGTTCTTTCAGCAGTGAGTTGGTGGAGGAAAATTAGATAATTATTCAAATGCATCTCTTTCTTACAATAGTACCGATAGCTTCTATGTAAATGTGAAGTTAACTTTTAGGAAATCCTAGAAATGGTGTATTTGTCATTATAAGAATAGACTTGTGACACTTCAGGTTTTGAGGCTTGATAATGAGTTCTCAGAAGCCAGAGTTAGCTTTAGAAAAATCAGAATTAACTCCATGGAAGGTTCTGCTTAATTAGAGCAGCAGGATGGGTATGCTGCCTTGTAGCAGGTTGGTGCCATCATGCAAAAAAGTCCAGGTTGTCAGGGGAGTGGGCATCAGATATGTCATTGTTAATGGTGATGTCAGTAGGAAGAGTCAGACTGGAATCTGACAGGAATGGTGGGCTATAGTGTTGCAAGCAGAACAACAGTTATCTTCTTACAGCAGTGAAAATCAGACTTCCTGAGGGTGACAGTTGGGATCACTCATAAACTGATGGCCTTCCCATCTTTTTCTTTCTTCTCTGAGTTAGTACTAACAGACAGGGATTAGGGGAGATGAGCTAATCTATTGGCATGGTGTTCTGAAACCTGGATATGACTGCTTTGGAATTCTTGCTGATATACTGTTTCTGTCTGGTTTTGCAATTTTGGTAAAATGTCCTCAGAAGCAGTCCATAGTCAGGGATGTTACAAAGGAAACCTGGGAAAAGAGATTTGGATTTGCCACGGCAATGAGAGAATGGGGAGTAGAAGAATGGAGAGCAGGATAAGGAAGACAAGAGAAAGACTTGGAGAAGGTGGGGAGGAGACAGTGTAACTATTTTGTAAGCATTCCTGGTCTTCAGAGCATGAATGCCGTGGTCACTTTAAATCCTAAATGCCAGCACTATTTTTGCCAAGGTAACCTCTGCTGTGTGGTTTATCAAGGTGAATCACCTGTGGTGCCCTACCAGATGGGAAAGAAAAGCAAGGGGTGTGGGTGTTGTATTTCTTGTGTATACATCAACTTGACCTTCTTGGTTATTTCTATTTTGGGAGTGAAATGAGTAAATAAACATTCTTCTTAGTTTAGTACTAGGACAAAGTTTTGTCATACCCCTCTTTTTTTTTGGTACCGGGGATTGAACTCGGGACCTTGCGCTTGCGAGGCAGGCAGCGGAACCACTGAGCTAAATCCCTGGCCCTTAGGACAAAGTTTTGAATCCAAATTTGATTTAAAAAAATTTTGGGGGGCAATCTGAATTCTTTTCAAATAGGCATTTTGGCCAGGCTCCTATCAGGAAGGTAGGTTTGTAGATGGTAGATTGTCTGGCAGGTCTTAATCTGAAATCTTGGGTTTAGAGTTTCTGAAAGAACAGTTAAAGATTGCCCACCATATATGGATTTGTTTTTAGAAAAGTTTTCTATTAATTGCTCAGCCTTGCAACTTTCCAAAAAATTATATTGTTTTAAAATCTAATTACATATTTTGCAATGTAGGAAAAGGGAAGAAATCTGTTGTATGACTTTACTTTGTCTCGCTTTTTTTCATCTTCATTTGCTTTCAATCAAGTATTTCTTATTTTAAATTTTTTGATATCCTCTTGGTTTGTTATTCTGTTCGCTCTTATGATTCTCAACCTGGAAAGGGCTTTCTCTCTCCTCTTTCCTCCTCACTCCCACCTCCTACTGAGGGCCTTTTAGATACAGGATGAAGATTGGTCTGTCTTGAGGCTTTCAGTGGCTACAGACCAGGGATCCTGAGTGTTTGCACATGCATCAATCTTGAAATGTGAATTCTGCCTCATAGTAGAGGGCAGTCCAATACTCTACAGCAGTGTATGGTGGAGAGAATTTTGGACTTCAACTTTTAAACTGTGGCTAGCTAAGGTAGAATTAGCTGGTAGAGTCAAGTGGTTAAAAGCCCTGGTTTTGGAATCAATGCTGTTTTGAAACTGGCTCTAACATTTATCAGCTGGTTGATCTTTGCTTCAGTCTCCTCATCTGTAAATTCAGGCTAATCATACCTTACAATTTTTGTGAAGATCAAAGAAGAGAACATGTTTTAAGTACTTAATAGTTACTTTTTTTTGATAAAGTATCATCCAGAAGAATGCCAGTGCCTTTTCTTCTCCCTGCTCTTAAATTTTTTAGTCTTTTTTTTTTCAAGAAAGGAGCTACATTGATGCTTACATTTTTATATTTGCAGAGCAAATATGGGCCCCATTACAATTTTAAATTCAAGTATAACAAAATTTGTTGAATATTTCTTAAAGATATGACCAAAAGCTACAGTGAATGTTTAAAAAATTATTATAGTAAAAGACACATTGCCCTCCTCAAAATACTCCCTCTCACTTATCTCATTATTCTTACCACTTTCTGAAGCAGTTCTATAAGTCTTTTCTTTTTTTTTTATATCCTTTTATTGGTACATTTTAGGTATACAATATAATGACATTCATCATTGGAGATATGCACCTTTACATACTCTCTTGGTTCTTATTTTTTCTCCCTTCCCCTACACTCCCTTCAACCCCTCCATCTCTCCCTATTTACAAAGACTTTGTTTCCATTTTTTCATTTTCTCATAATCCATTCTATAAGTCTTTTCTTATGAGTGTCTTTGACAAGGTATGATTAAAAAAAATACGGTGGATGCTGCTGCTGAGTGCCATCCAACAGAAAGGCAAGCTTGTAAAAACATAATGATGTGCCCTTGTGGACCTCGTTCACTGGATCTAGCACCTTGTAGTGGTTCTTCCCCAAAGTAAAACTGACCGTGAAAGGTAAATGTTTTAAATTAATTCAGGATATCAAGATAGCCAAAAAAATATAACCAAAGATACTCACAAAAAAGGACTTCTAGAACTGCTCCAAGAAGTGGCAAGAATCATGGGATTAAGTATGTTCCAGAAGAGGGGGATTATTTTGAGAGTGATTAATGGCAATGTGTCTTTTACTGTAATTAAAAAAAAAAAATTCACCATATTTTTGATCACATCGTGATTAAAAATGAAATGGGTAGAGTCTTACATATGGTAATAGAGGTGGTATTTTTTTATGCCTGATACTATGAGAAGCACTTATACAGTCTGATTTAGAATCACTTTCTGATTTCAGGAGTGGAACTTACAAGTAGATTTTTCATCCTTAAAAAGAGTGATCTTTACCTAGAGGCTTGAATACTCATCATATGGGTAAAGAATGCCCCTTATTGCCACCTTCTACCCTCCCAAAATCCAGATGAGAGGCGTTCTTTAGAGAACTCTAGCCAGAGGAAGTAGTTTTTCTAGTAGATTTTTCTATTGGATGTTACTTCCTAAGGGGCCAGCTAGAAATGGTCTTGATTCTTCTGCAAGTGCTCAGGCAAACCAGGCCAGGTTTCCCCAGGACATTGAGGGTGACCAGACCAGATTCAGGGCCAGGACTGTCCTGGCATATTTTACTCACGGAACCTTTTCACACACTGAGGTAGAACCTACCATCTACTAATATGTGTAATAGCACTGACACTAAAGACAACTTTAGTCAGCAAGCATTATATCTAAGGCCTATTGTTCAACAGCTAGGGCTACTCTGGTGACTAAGAAAAGAAAGAGTTATGCATTGGCGTTTGTTTAGGGTGTCCAGCGAGCATATTTATCAGGGCTTCTTACAAAGACGGTCATTTACTTCTTCCCATTATCCTTCTGATAATCACTGTTTAATGCAGATATTAATACCTACATCCTTCCCTGCCATTTGATACCTAATAAATCTGAGTCACAAGTTGGACAGCTTTCCCAAAATCCTACAGCCAGTAGGTAGTAGAATTGAATTTCCACTACTCTCAATCAGCTCTACTTGATTCAAAGGCTGTTTTAAAACACCATTTTGGCTAGACTTTCTCACAACTAGCAGGTGGCAGAGTAGGGATGTGAATCCTTTTCTCACCATGTCATGCTGAGAAAAGGCTAGGAAAGTCTCCTTGCCTAGTCTCTTCCAGTTACCTCAAGTGTACAAAGGATTATTCTGGATTTATGAACCAGGAAAATGAGTACATGTTCCAAGTCATCATGGTCTTATACAACCAGATACAGTCATTTCTCATCTGGGAAACTTAACCTTGGTGTAAGAGTGGGTGTAAGCCCACTACAGAGGCAGAAGGATGCCAAAGTATGCATGACCTTTGCCCCTCAGAGGGAACCCAGGAAGGAATGATAGGAATTGTCATTCTCTGTACCAGCAGATGGACCAGCTTCGGTGCACAATTGCTATTCCACAGGGTTACCCTATCCTTTTGTGCTTTGTTTGCCAGGTGTGCCCTTGGTAGACCCCACAGGGGAGAGAGGCAGTGAGTCTCACTGTCTTCAGACTACTAGTGGACCATCTTGTGTGCATTATGAAGGATGGGCCTTGGCCAGGCCTAGGTCATTAGAGGATCATAATCTCCCAGCTCATTTGGTGCCAGCCAAAGGCTTTCTCAGTGCAAGACCAAGTGCTGCTATAAAGCCAAGTACAGCACTTTCAAGACAGCTGGTGCCGCCAGGCCCTTGGGCCACTGCTCTTCACAGAGAGGTAATTCTGGGTACTGGGGCAAGGCGAGGCAGCCTTTGTGTAGGGAAAATGTTCCACGGGTAGGTATTTGATTGCTTATTAGTTTACTTTTTCAGTCAAATTATTTTTGTTGCTGTTAAAAATTAATTTTAATAATTGCTTTTGGATCAAGCTGTTAAACAACTGAGCCAGCTTTTCATGCCCAGTGAACTTTTATAGCAAACTCTTCTGTCTTTATGGGGTTATTATGAGGATGATATTTGTAAAGTGCTCTAACTGCTTACAGGAAGTCTCTGGATAAATATACGTGGCTGTTTTCCCTGCCTGGAATGTTCCTGCCCCAGGTCTCTGGCAGGCTGGAGGAGCAAGCTGTGTCATCTCTTAGACTCCTGCTAGGCTCCTGTAGATCAGTTACTGAGAAGGGAGTGCAAAAGGCTCAGGAACAATGTCTAACAGTGACTTTTACATCTGCCAGAATGCAGAGGCTAAGGATGTGCAGGCCTCCATCCTCTTGGAGAGCCTTCTGTCCTTCAGCCCCCCTGGATCTGGCCTGCTTTGCACTGTCAGGACACACACTCATAGCTTCCTGTGCTTGTCTCTATGTGTGCAGCTTTGGGCCAGGCGCCTGTCAGCTTTCTGATGCCCAGGCAGGTACTGCTATCCCTTGCTTAAGGAGCTGGTATATGTTCTGTTAGTTTTAGACTAGTGTCTTAGAAGAATTTATACCTTCTCTATTTTTTTGCTTGGTCATAGCAGTTAATGAACTTTTATTTTTTCTTTTCATTGACAAAGCAGTGAAGTCCTAACTGAATCAGAGCCAAGCTACTCTCTCTGGTCCTGGTTTCTTAAGGAAAAACACTCATCTCTTTAATGTTGACGCAGTGTGACTTTCTTTGCTCATGGTCTAGTCATGTCTTCTTGCTGTGCTGATATGTGTCAGAATATGGATGCAGTACCTCGGAATGCCCAGAAGAGAGAGGTGAGGGTTGGGGAGGGGAGACAGGAAGAGGGAAAAACTGCAGCAGCCAGCCAGCTCTTTCTGCTCAAATTGTTTTCACTAGATTTAGAGGATCCTCTACACCAGAGCCATTATTTATAGTGTGCTTTTCCTTAGATTCTGTGTGTGTGTTTAGCTTAATGGTCATTTTGCTTAGTATCTTATTTGCTGGTTCCCTTAGTTTTGGACCATATGAGCATGTGGAAAAGGCCTTCTCCCCCTTTCTTCCAGACCCCATCTTCAGTGAAGACCACAGTTCTGGATCCACAGTGGACCCTTTGCCAATGAATGGAGTCTTGCCAGGGTTTGGTGGGCATGCTCTCTGGCCTCCAAACTCAGTCTTTTCTACTGGCTTGCTGGCTGCATCTGTGGAAAGTGGAGCAGGCCCAAGGCATCGTGGCTTTTCTATCTTCTCACTCCCCTCTGTTGCGTTTCACTCAGCAGCCATTTCCCCCTCAGACTGGGCCCTGTGCCAGATATCGAGGTCCCAACTGGCATTTTTGAAGTAGGAGCCTGCTATGGGTCCGTGGTGGAATCCCAGTGTTTGCCCAGGGGCTCTTCCTGTGGTGAGGCACGGAGGCAATCCAGGTTGGTGTCCAGTCATGCTGGGAGCTGCTTCCCAGAGCTGCCACTTCAACTTGAGCATCAGGCTGCTTCCATTTGGCAGCCCCTGATGTGTGGTAGTAGATTGTCATCCTGTGAATAAAGACTGTTATTCTCTCTATAAAGATCGTTTTTAAGAAAAAAGGTGCATCAATGACTTTTTTCTTTAAAATTAAAGGAGTTTAATTTTCTGGATTCTTTCTGTTAAAAAAGTATTTTATAGAAAGTTCATACTTAAAAGTACAAGTAAATTACAAACCATGCCTTTTTAGACATAATTGTTGCCCATATTTTGATGGTTGTCATCCACACCCATGTACATATTTACAATCTTAGATTTGAGATGTTATAAAAACATTTATAAAAACAGACTGTGGCAGTCTTATGTCATAAATTTGGAAATACTTTAGTATCTGAAGAATATTCAATTGTATAGATATGCTATAATTTATTTAACCAATCTCTTATAGGTGGAATTTTTTCCCAGTTATGAAAATGCTTTATTTTGCCTTATACTTGTCTAATTATCTCATAGAATAAAAAGATTAAAATTACAGAGGCAGAGTGTGACCATTTTGGATATTCATGCAGATTGACATAATACCGACAGAAATGTGTGCTCTTTTGTTAAAAATAAAAATTTAATGGTTTATTCTGTTTGTGTCTATGTAGATCATTTCATTATAATTTCTAGTTTTTTTCTTTTAAAATATCCTTTATTCTTGCCACTTAAAGAACACAGTAGTCTCCAGTATGAAGCTTTATAAGTTCAATACTGCCTAAATAAGCAAGTAGAACAGCTCTAATATATAAAATGTTTGCATTTATAGAGTTTTTTCATAAACAAAAGGTCCAACACCCAAATTTATGTTATTGACCCTTCCAGCTGAGAGAAGTGATGAGATTCATCTGCAAATACAGAGAAATTACAGAAAACAAATAAGTGATACCTTTGTTTCAGAAGGAAGAATAACAAAGTAGAAAAGAACTGCTTCCCATTGTACATGTGATAATCCCACTAATTCCCCCAGGTAGATATTTGTCAGTTACTCTATAGTGGCATGAACTATTAAAATTCTTCACCTGTGACATCGGATAATTTCCTGGCAAAGAAAGCCTCCTGCTGATTTTCCTAAATGTTGTTTTTTCTAATATATTTTAAATGAGTAAATATTCCAAACTTTTTAGGTGCTACTCTTTTCTTTTTTCAAACAAGAGTTTGGATAACTAGTTGGGGGGAAGCTTAGTGATTAATTTTATAGTTTCAGTATTTAAAAACCAAAACTTTGTGTCCTGCATGCATTTTTCCCTTGTATGATCCTGGTTTGCAGCTCCATCTTTTCTTGACCTTGATTTTAAGAAATTGTCATAGGGAGGTTGTGTAATTAAAATTTCTCTTTATCAATCTCTGTTTTGGACAATCTGTGATGTTCTGTATTTTCATGTGATTTCTACAATTTTGCTAAAGAGAGCTTTTTGACAGTAAAAGTGTAGGAAATACTGTTTTGTAATTTGATGGAGATTTAAAAAAATTAATGCTGAGTTCTTACTTGAAATTGTGATCTTTAAGTTGTATTCTAACATTATTGTTAAGGAAGCTCTGCTTTCATTACTATCTCTGATTTCTTCTAGAATGTTTTCTTGGAGCATTTCAGTCTGTGAGATTCTGCCTCATCAATGTGATTAATGATGTGTTGTCCCACCTCTTTGAACTTTATCTCCTTGATCTCATTTGTCCATTCTCGGGTGTCACCTGACACTTCTCACCCATTCACTGGTTCATTGCTGATCTTTCTTTTACACTTTGAGTTCATCTAAATGATAAGGATATCCTGTATCTTCTTTAAAAGCTTTTTTAGTGTGTATTTTTCTACTGCCCAGAGTGATTTTTAACATTCATTATTTGCTGCTTTTGTCTGAACATTGCACACATCAACCACAGATAGTTTGTATGTTAAGACTACTGCAATAACAAGCAAGATCTAGGTACCTGTAGCTTGGTGGGAGAAAACCACCAGTAATCACTATAGTATGGGAGAATTTTTTGGTATCTCATCTTCTCATCAGGTAACACCTTCTTGATGAGATAGACTTTTTATGTTGGACTTTGATTGAAAAGACTGGGGTCACTAACTGGTGGGAAATGAGAGGATAGCTAGTGAAGAGGCCAGTGTAAGATAAAATGGGCATACAAAGTAGATGCCCATGGATCCGAGGAACTAAGATATACCATAGAAAGATTTGGGAGGAGGTTTCCAGGGTGGATATGGAAAATTTTAATGTCATTTGATTGTGACTTATTTTTAATGTCCCTTGTTCACATGTCAGAATGACAAAATATAAACCTATGGGAGAAGGTACATCAGAACTTCAGGTGTGATTGCAAAGTGAGACAGACCTGTTGTGGGGTTGGTGTCTTGGTACACCCTGTACTCTGGCTACAGGGACTTCCAAGGGAGGATGTTGCATAAAGGGCTTGCCTAGCTATCCAGCCAAATATCAAGGTTACTGGCTCGAGTTGGCTACTGTGTGATAATTCATCTGTTTTGTTTTTGTTTCTCAGAAAATTGCTGGATTTTCCCAGGGTCTGTGTTTGCTCATGGTGAGTTGTATGGAAATACTCCTTTCAGGACGTGAAGGTACCATCTAATGAACTGGTCCATTAGTACTGTTTGTTTAATAACTCACAATTGTAGTGCAGTAAGTAGTATTTAATTACTGACTTTTTGAGCCACTGGGGAACCATTTAGTAATTACTGCATCATTGCCATTTAATAAATTTCTGTCTTGTACATTAAATGGCTCCGAGCAGTCATTCACTGCCTAGTCCCCAGTGGCATAAATAAGTTAATGCTGCTTCCAGGGATGTTCATGTGGAACCAGATGGTCACTTAGACATTAGAAAAATAAAGGTGCAATAAAGTCTTTCAAGGCGGTCCCAGAGTTTTGAATTTCATGAACTAATCTTTTGTTTTGCTTTGTTTTGTTTTGGTAATGTTTAGCGATTGGCATGGGGTTGTTAACTTTTTAATTTTGTCAAATTTTGTTCCCCTCAGGAAACCTGACTCAGAAGCACCTTGCCTAGGGCAGAATGGTTGCTTGATAAATATCAGTTGCGTTTTGTGAAGCTGTGCATTTTAGGACAGAATTTTTGCTGGTGACATCTGTTTAATTTTACTATTTTATAAGACTTTGTACTGGAATGTTAATTTTATCAAATGTGTTGTTAAATATGGTTGGCTGAAGAAATATCACTTTGTATGCAAGGATTAAGCTTTGAAAGGACCCTAGACAAAATTGTGACTTATTAATTTTGTCTGTTGATAATACGATGGAGAGAGGATACGTCTTTGGACTATATTAAATTCTGAAGTGTTTTAAGATTTAGGGATGATTAATTCAAACATAATTAATCTGTAGGTCCTTGTGTCTTTATTCCTGAGTTAAATTTTGTGACAGATCAAAGAGAAAGTGGGTCAGTATGATGATTTAATTAAAATTGATACTTTAAGGTAGAAAGCATAAAGGCACTTCTTTTTTGTGATTTCTGTGATTTTGCCCATCTAAGAAGCCAGGTAAGTGTGCTATAAGGTGACTAGTTGAAATTATGTCCAGTTCAGGTGGTTAACATGGTTGTGGAGGTGATAGTGAGGAAATAAAGATCCTAAAAATCCTGGTGCTTGTTTTGAAGGGTGACAGAAAAAATAACCGATAGCTTGTGGCCCATAAGACAGATTCCTGGGATAGCATATACTCCTGTCAAACCATCCATTTCCCAGACTGTGGTCATCTTGCTTTGAGGCTGAGAAGTTTGTCAGTGCTTGTTTTGCTCCTAATGCCTGCTGGCATTTGATGTTGCAGTAATTGTCTGGATGTCGTATAGAATGTTTGATTTTAGATGCTCAAAGAGAGTAGAACAGTTAAAAGTAATGTTTTCAGTAAATTGCTCTTTCTAATAATGTTAGAAATATAATTTGTATCCTAGCTATACCATGGCGTTTGCACCTAGTTTTAGAAGCTCAGTATGATGGGGTATATACAAAATCTGTAGTAGGGCTGGACAACCTTTCCTTATGGGAATGAGTGGAAATTTCCTATTGCTTTTTTAGATAAAATTTAAAAGATGAGTTTTCAGGTGCATTATTTTACACAGGTTAATCAAATATATTGTCAAACTACAAATACATGCTTCTCAGACATGAAATTGAGTAAATTCTGTTAGAAAATTCACCATGTCTTTATTATTTATTTATTTATTTATTTATTTATTTATTTGGTACTGGGGATTGAACTTGGGTCCTTGCGCTTTCAAGGCAGGCAGCTATGGTTTAATTAGAAGGGATTTAGAAAGTTCATAAATTCAGAGTATAGAATAAACAAAAAGGATTAAAGGAACATTCCTTGGGCAGCACTGATATAGAATTGTGTACCTTATTACTCTTGCCAGGATTTATTTTGAAGTCAGCCTTTATGAAGCTACAGAGCAGACAGATGTTTTAATAACACAAATTTGAGAAATTAATTTCAGTTATCAGGGTTTGCATGTGATGTTGGCATCAGTACAAGATCTAATTACATAACAATCTATTATTGGTCTCTGTTTTGAGTTTTTCATACAGTTTATTTTTTTTCCAGGTACCTTATAACAATAGTGGACTATAGCATAGATTCAATTTCCATTTCTGTTTCTGCTCTTGGTTTTGATGTTGTGTCTCTGTGGGATTGTTTTATGGTTTTAAGTGGTGAGTACATATTATTGAATTTAAAATATTTAGCATAATTGTAATTTTACATTCCATATGTTTGCCTTAATCATAGTCTGCTCATTTGGAACAGCTCACTTAGTATTTTATCATTTTCTGTGTCATAGTGTGCTTGGCTAACCCCATACTAGGGCATTTGAACTCTTTCCAGTTTGAAGTTGGCATAAATAATGCTGCTGCAAACATCTTTAAGCAATTGCTTTTTTCCCTCTCTTGGGATCCCTTCTTGGGGATCTATTCTTCAAAGAGGAAGCTCTTTAAAAGGTATGGACTCGGGCTGGGAATTTAGCTCAGTAGTTCTGCCACCTGCCTCACAAGCAAAGAGTCCCGAGTTCAATCCCTGGTACAAAATAAAATAAAATAAAATGAATAAATAAAAGGTGTGGACTCTTTCATAGCTTTTGTTCTGCTTACTTCTTCCCATTTGCTTCAAGAGCCCTCTGAGGAGACACACTGAGAAAGAAAAAAATGACTGGAAGGAAAAGGAATTGTCTGAGGTTTGAAACCTTTTTGCTGGTGAGAAAACAATGGCCTTCAGTTTCTAGATCAAAACTTTGCTTGCTTTTGGGCTAATCAGTAGGTTAGACAGTTCATTGTAGTACTTAAGAGCACAGGCTATGGAGTTCAGGTTAGTTCCTTTAGCCCCCGAGCTTCAGTTTTCATCTTCCTAAAATGCATGTAATCCAATACTGCCTGGCTCTCTGTGAGGAGGGATGAGGGATAAAGGAGATACTGGACTGTAATCGATCAGGTGGCACAGGCTAATCAGTGCTCATAGATAGAGCTGTGAAGATTTGTTCTGGAGACCTCTGAGCTTGGTTCCATGTGATATTAGCAGGTCAGTTCCCCAAGCCTTTGAACTCTGAGTCCTCTTGGTGTGTTCACCGAATTACAGATCAGAGTTCCTCTGCCCAGGATAAGCTTTCAATATTACATGTAAATTAATACTGATGGTGAGTTTGGCAGACTCCCCTACAAGGAGATGTTAAACAAGTTAGGACTATATCTAATAAGAGTGTTGACTAGGTCTGTAGCTAACTTGTAACATGGTATTCTGGTATCATGCTTTTTCATTTGGGTGTAAACAAAGAAAAAAAATTGAGAAGTACATGGTTCTTTCAGTCCAGTGTTCCCTTAGCTTGAATAAAATGCTTTTAGAGAAACTGGTGTAAAGGATTTTAAGTGGCTTGGGCTTTGTAAAGGTTGAGCCCTTGGCTTTCTGTGACATTAACAGAAACCTTTCTACTTATGACCAACTCATTCTGAAAAATCAAAGAAGTGTCAGCATCACTTAGGCCTTAATTCTTTTCTATTTCTCTTCTTCATTGCCATCATTGCATTTCTGGATCAGTGATTTGTCATTCTCCAGGGTATATGTCAAGTGTGCCTCCTCTTCTGGAAATTTCAGTGGAAACTCTTTTCAGTGTGGTACCATACTTCATAAATGTTTTTTTTTTTAAAGGTTTTGTGTGTGTGTGTGTGTGTGTGTGTGTGTGTGTGTGTATTTTTCCACATTAATTTAATTTTTAAAGGTTTTTAACTTTTGGTTTTAAGAAGGACTTCCCCACACCAGTTGGCTCCTACATATTGAAGTCCAGCCATGACATTTATGATTGCTGAGCAATGTTTCGGGAGGGATGTGGTGACCACAACTGTGTTTCCATTGCTGGATGAGCTTGGGCTCTGAGGGAAATAGTTTCCTCATGAGCAGACTGAGAGGTTGAAGAGTGAGTGTTCCGCCCAAGTCCTGTGGCTTCTTCCCCCAGCAAGTTAACATACAGCCTAGTGAGAATATCACCACATAGGGCATTTCATCTTTGTTCAGCCAGCCCTAAGGAATCCATGTGAAGAGATGGATGTTTTGTGCTTTAAACATGTTGTTGAATTCATTGATGGTATAAGTTTGCTACATAGCCATGGTTGACACTTTCATTAGATGAAGTTCTTATTAATTTACTCTTGTCCTCGATCTCCAGGACCCTTTCTTATTTGCAAGAGATCTATCCCCTTGTCTTCTTCTATCTGTTCTTTATTGTACTCTTTGTGCTTTGCCTTGGTCAAATGTGAGATACTGTATATTTAAGGTTGTGTTTCTGATTTATTTCACTCAACATTATATTTTCCAACAGATGTCTTAAATTTTTCCTTGTTAGTAGCTGAATAGTATTCCGTTAGGTAGAGATACCACATTTTCATTATCCAATCGTCTGTTGATAGGTATAGTGGCTGTTCTAGGACTTAGCTATTATGAATTGTGCTGCTATAAAACATTGTACTGTATGCATGTATCGCTATAGTATGGTCTCTTAAGCTCTTTGGGGAAGATATCTAGAAAGGGGATAGCTGGATTATATGGAATTTCAAATTTTAGTTCTTTGAGGAATTTCCATACTGATTTCCACAATGGTTGTACTAGTTTATATTCCCACGAACAATGTAGGAGGGTTTCTTTTTCACTGCAGCTATGCCAGCATTTGTTATTTTTTGACTTCTTGATGACTGTTTTCTTTCCTGGTACAGTATGAAATAGAATCTTAGCATTGTTTTAGTTTGCCTTTCTCTAATGGCCACAGATGTTGAATTTTTTTTTTTTTCATATATTTGTTGGTCATTTGTACTTCTTCCTCTGAGAAGTATCTGTTCATTTCATTTGCCCATTTCTCGATTGGGTCTTCTATTTTAGGTGGTCTAATATTTTTGAGGGAAGTGGGAGGTAAGGAGAAGGGGATTAAAAAAAGAATCACGCTGCCCAAGATGATTGTAAACTGTGTGTACTACAAACATGGTACTAATAAAATACATAAAATAAAATAAATTTTTCTTAAAGAATATATTACTT